ACCACATAAGCAAAAAGAAAAAAGCCAGAAGTGGCGCTGTGGCTCAAGTGGTAGAGCGCTAGCCTTGAGCTGAAGAGCTGAGGGACAGCACCCAGGCCCTGAGTTCAGGCCCCACGACTGGACCCAAAAAAAAAAAAAGTATATTTCTTTCCCATAACTTTTGCTTAAAAAAAAAAAGTGGCTTCCTTTTTGAGGGAGCCAGATACAGTAGAAGGCATCAGTACTCCCAGTACTCAGAGGTAAAGACGGGGATGAGAGTTCAAGGCCAGGCTAGGCTACACAGGAAGACAGTATTTCAAGAAGAATGAAAAAGAAAAAAAAAAGTCATGAGCCCAGCGCCAGTGGCTCACGCCTCTAATCCCAGCTACTCAGGAGGCAGAGATCTGAGGATTGAGGTTCAAAAGCCACCCTGGGTAGGAGAGCCTATGAGACTCTTATCTCCAATAAACCACTAGAAAACAGGAAGTGGCGCTGTGGCTCAAGCGGTAGAGGGCTCACCTTGAGCTAAAGAGCGCAAGGACAGCACCCAAGTGGGTTCGAGCCTCACGACCAACAAAAAAAAAGTCTTGCCAGACATGTGGTTCATGACTAATCTTAGCTTCATGGAAGGCTGAGAATGGGAGGACTGCGGTTCAAGGACAGCCTAGGCAAAAGAAAGGGTCATGACTCACTTCATGTTAACCAACAAAAAGTTGGGCATGGTGGTACACACCTGTCATCCCAGCTATTTGGGAAGTGATATAGGAGGATCAAAGGCTGGACAAAAAGTGAGAACCCTATTTGAAAAATAACAAAAGCAAAAAGGACTGAGGGTACAGCCCAAGTGACAGAGTGCCTGTCTAGCAAACACAAGGCACTAAGCTCAGATGCTAGTGCTGCCACGGAACGAGAGAGAGAAAGAAGAGAAAGAAAGAGTGTGTGTGAATAGAGCAGAAAAAAGGAAAAGGAAAGAAAGCCAAGTGCCTGAATCCTAGCAATTTAGGAATCTGATCATCTCAGTTTGAAGCTAGCCTAGAGAAAACAAATCCCAGAAACGCTCATCTCCAATCAAACAGCAAAAAGCAAGAAGTGGCTCAAGTTGCAGAGCATCAGCCACATATTCAAGAAAACCAATCAAGACCGAGAGACCCAGCATTTGCATCCTATACCTTGTAGTAAGATAGAATGACTGGACATGAAAGACCATGACCATTTTAAAGAAATGAAAGAAATCCATTGTAGTCGATGTGCAAAGAATGCAGAGAAAGGTGGCATAAGATGAGGCAGGAGGGCTGGGAACATGGCTTAGTGGTAGAGTGCTTGCCTAGCATGCATGAAGCCCTGGGTTCCATTCCTTTGTATCACATAAACAGAAAAAGCTAGAAGTGGCGCCATGGCTCAAGTGGTAGTGGTAGCCTTGAGCAAAGGAAGCTTAGGGACAATGCCAGGCCCTGAGTTCAAGCCCCAGGACTGGAAGGAAAAAAAAAGAGAGAGAGATGAGGCAGAAAAAAGAAAAATTCAATTTATACCAGACTTCATAGGCTGTATAAGATATTTCTTAATATAGCCTAAGAGAAGTACATATGTGATTTAACAATTGCTTAGCTGTAGAATGAAGACCGAATTGGGAAGGAAAAGGAGCTCTGAAAGCCCAACCAGAGAATTAGTGCAACCCCTGGGTTAGAGGTTACAATGGACAGGGTCTTGCTATGAACCAGGCCAGCTTTGAATTTGACATGTACACCAGATGTGCCTCAAACTATTCTTCAACCTAAGCCTCCTGCATGCTGGGACTACAGGCAGCTGCCACCATAATCAGGTGTTTAATTCTTCATCTAAAAAAAATTCTTTTCTGCTAGGGTATTACTAGGTGGTAGAGCATGCACTGAGCATGCATAAGGCCAAAACCTGGCAAAACCCTACTCCGTACAATCTATTACCGCTAAAATGCTAATGCTTCTAAGTTTTTCAACAGTATTTTTATTATGCTTTCATTCATTTGTTAGTACTGTAGTCAAATAAAGATCTGTATTGTTAGGGAGTTAAATGTTTTTTTCCTGCAGACGTTTTAGTTTTGCTACTTACCTACAGGTTCTCCAAAGGTGATGGTGAGTTGTATGGTGTCATAAACAAAGGTGAATACAGCTTGAGTGTCATTCCACTCAATAATAGTCCACTCAGATAAACTAGAGAGAAGAAGAAAAAAAGCAATTTTTCCCTCCCAGTGCTGGGGATCAAGCCAAGTGTTTTATACATGCTTAGATGAGCTCTACTGTTCAGCTCAGAGAGAGGAAAGGGGAAATTTCTAACAGAACTCAAACAATACCAATAGCAGTTACTGGCTTTTACCCACTGACTTAGGAGATGGCATTTCAATTCAAATATTGTGAATATACAATCTTTTTAAATCTTTTAAAAGAAATAAAAACTAGGCCAGGTACCTATAGCTCATGTCTGTAATCCTAGCTATTCAGAAGGCTGAGGTTTGGGAATCACAGTTTGAAGCCAGCCTGGGCAGAAAAGTCCATGTGAGTCTTATCACCAATAAACCACCACAAAACAAGAAGTGGCTCTGTGTAGAACGCTAGACTGGAGCAAAAAAGCTCAGGGACAGCAGTGCCCAGGCCCTGAGTTCAAGCCTCACGACCAATCAAAAAAAAAGAACTCACTGACATCAGTAGCTCATGCCTGTAATCCTAGCTACTCAGGAGGCTGAGATCTGAGGATCATGGTTCAAAGCCAGCCCGGAAAAGAAAGTCTTTGAGACCTTTTTTTTTTTTTTTTTTGTCGGTCGTGGGGCTTGAACTCTGGGCCTGGGTGCTGTCCCTCAGCTCTTCAGCTCAAGGCGAGCGCTCTACCACTTGAGCTACAGCGCCACTTCCGGTTTTCTGGTGGTTTATTGGAGATAGGAGTCTCACGGTCTCTCCTGCCCGGGCTGGCTTTGAACTGCAATCCTCAGATCTCAGCCTCCTGAGTAGCTAGGATTACAGGCGTGAGCCACCAGTGCCTGACCGTCTTTGAGACTTTTATCTCCAATAAACCACCAGAAATGGCGCTATGGCTCAAGTGGTAGAGCACTCGCCTTGAACTGAAGAGCTGAGGGACAGCGCCCAAGCCCAGACAGAGTTCAAGCCCACAACCGACCAAAAAAAAAAAAAGGAAGAATTCAAACTGAGCTGGGAAGGTGGCTGCATGATACAGTGCTTGACTTGCATGCATGAGGCTCTGGGTTTGATTCCTCAGCACCACTTAAGCAGAAAAAGACGGAAGTGGTGCTGTGGCTCAAGTGGTAGCGTTAGAGCTAAGGGACGATACCCAGGCCCAGAGTTCAAGCCCCACGACCAACAAAAACAAAAAACAAAATAAACGAGTGATATGTCAGAATTAAAAGTACATGCAACAAAAACTGTTAATTTTGTTGTTTTTAGACAGGCTGTTGCTGTAAGAACTTATGCTGGTCTCAAGTTCAAAATCCTCCCACCTGAGCATCCTGACTGAAGGAAGAACAGGCCTGCACCACCACATCAGGCGTGAAAGTGCTCTGTATCTTAACACCTTTCCAGAGCTCTCCCACCTGTGTATTTTCACCTTAGTTTTCAGTACACTGACATTTTTTTTTTAACATGCTTGATTCACTTTCTTATTCTTGTATAAAATTCTATGTTGTAGCCACAGCTGGAGCCTAGGTCCTCTGCACAGAGACTCTGGTGTGGTTTTTCAAAAAATGTCAGTGAATTCCTGTTGTGGAGATTTGGTGAACACAGTCTCTTTCCAGAGGTCAGGGGTCAGGTAACTGTAGGTCCTGGAGATGGCATTAAAGGTGGCCTTGGAGAAGTTGCCCCTGGCTGAGGTGTAGTAGTCATTAACACCAGCCATCATCCACAGCTTCTTGGGGGATAGGAGCTGGAATGATCTCAGTGACTCACTCGGGGGCGGGGATGAGGTGCACTAACAGAGAACCACAGCAGCTTGACACCTTGCACAGGACAGTGTGGGGCTTGCCAATCTTGTTCCCCCGATAGCCTCCCCGCACAGGAACAACAGAGAGCTTGGCTAAGATGGCAAGTGGCAACCTCCTTGGAGCACTTAACAACCAGACCGACATGGCCATAATGGCAACAGATGCCTTGCACCTAGTGCGCTGGTAAGCTCAGTTCGGTCTGCTTCTGCACGACCATAATCTTCAACACCTCATCCTTTAAAGACTCCTTGATGGGGCACGGAGAAAAGACAGATCTCCAAAGACTTCATCTTCATGTCCTTAACCACGTAGCCCAGTTTGGTGGCAGAGATCCACTCCTTGTTTTCAACCTTGCCTCCACAAGCCTAGCAGCCAAAACCTGGACTCTGGAAGTGGCTACTGAAGCCTCCTCAGAAGCTGCAGGGCCTTCCAAGCCTGCCCTAATCCCTCCGCCTCTCACCCCCCACCTTTCATTGCATCTGCCATTTGGTGTTTTCCCAAAGAAGCCACTGACTCTGTTGTTATTGATGGTACCAGGGTTGTACTCAGGTTTACATATTACTCAGCTAGTTCTATATCTCTTGAGTTGTGCTTTCAGTCTAGCTTTTTGCTGGTTAGAGATGGAGTCTTCTGCCTGGTCTGGCTTTCAACTGTGATCATATGGATTTCAACTTCCTTGAGTAGCTAAGATTACAAGATTGAGCCACTAGCAGTAGCTACACTGGCTTTTTTTTTAATAAGGAATTTAATAAATTATTAGAATATAAACATTCTATAGCAATGACTCTTTATGTACTCTAGGTTAGATTAAAAGCTAGTACAAAGCCAGGCACTGATGGCTCATGCATGAATCCTAGTTACTCAGGAGGCTGAGTTCTGAGGATCACAGTTCAAGCCAGCCTCGGCAGGAAAGTCCGTGAAACTCTTATTTCCAATAAACCACTAGAAAACCGGAAGTGGCACTATGGCTCAAGTGGTAGAGTGCTCGCCTTGAGCTGAAGAGCACAGGGACAGTGCCCAAGCCCAGATTTCAAGCCCCACGACCAACAACAACAACAAAAAGCCAGTACAAAACTGGGTGCCACGGGGCTGGGAACATGGCCTAGTGTTAGAGTGTTTGCCTAGCATGCATGAAGCCCTGGGTTCAATTCCTCAGAACACAAAAACAGAAAAAGCTAGAGTGGTGCTATGGCTCAAGTGGTAGAGTACTAGCCTTGAGCAAATGAAGCTCAGGAACAGTGCCCAGGCCCTGAGTTCCAGCCCTAGGGCTGGCAAAAAAACAAACAAACAACTGGGTGCCACTCCTAGGCATCTACCCTGAGCAACAGGAACCAGGATACAAGGACACATGCACCTCCATGTTCATTGCAGCACTGTTCACAATAGCCAGGATATAGAAACAACCAGATGCCTCACTACAGATGAATGGATCCATAAACTGTGGTACCCATATACAATGGAATATTATGCAGCCATTAGAAAGGACAAAATAATGACATTCACAGGGAAATAGATGGAACTAGAAAAACAATCATTTTGAGCGAGGTAAGACAAGAACAAAGAGACAAATGATACATGAATGTTAAATCCAAAATGCAATGAGATACAACATATAAACAGGACTGGAGAAACAAAAGACCTCCACTCATCCTGTTGTATCATTACTAAATGACCCCATGTTGTTGACCACGTGTGTGTGTGTGTGTGTGTGTGTGTGTGTGTGTATGCACATATCTAAGGGAAGCTAGGAGGAAGACACAGAATCAAAGGAAAACAGGAAAACATGCAACAGAGGGCCCATCATCTGCACTGGACATTGGTGAGAACAAACTAAGCCACTCAAGGGCAGCGATGGGAGGGAGGGAATGAGGGGGAAAGAGGGGACAGCTGACACCGAGAAAAAGGAAAGACATGTACATATCATCTAATGTATATATCATCTGATGTGGAAGAAATAGTATTGTCAAAGCTCGTAGAATTCACAAACTTTCTAGACCACAATAATGACAATTTGCCTCATGAGGTTAGAATATGTTTGTACTTTAACTAAGTATCACTATCTCACAATACTGTGAAATTTATAATCACTTAATCACAATAAAAAATTATTTTAAAATAACAAAACTGGGTGCCATGGATCACACCTGTAATTGTAGCTACTTAGGAGGCTGAAATCTAAGGATGCAAGCTACTTATTGAAAATGTTGTGAGAAAGCTTAATAGGATAGAGTGGAGTATAGAAAGGGTGTGGTGGATATAGTATATGCACGTGTGGAGATGTTACAATAGAACCCGCTCTACCACTTATGAATGCTAATAGTAAAAGAAAAGCCATTGCAGCTAGGCATTGGTGGCTCTTGCCTGCAATCCTAGCTACTCAGAAGGCTGAGATCTGAGGATCGGAGTTCAAAGCCATCCCGGGCAGGAACGTCCATGGGGCTCTCCAATAACTACTCTGAAAACCCGAAGTGGCGCTGTGGCTCAAGTGGTAGAGCACTAGCCTTGAGCTGAAGAACTGAGGGACAGTGCTCAGGCCCAGAATTCAGGCCCCATAACCAACAAAGAAAAAAAGGAAAAAAAAAAAAAAGCCATTGCATCCCTGCACTGGTAGCTCACACCTGTAATCCTAACTACTCAGGAGGCTGAGATTTGAGGATTGCAGTTCAAAGCCAGCCCGGGCAGGAAAGACCATTAGACTCTTATCTCTAATAAACCATCAGAAAACTGGAAGTGGTGCTGTAGCTCAAGTGGTAGAGCGCTAGCCTTGAGCTGAAGAGCTGAGGGACAGTGCCCAGGTCCAGAGTTCAAGTCCCATGACTGACCAAAAAAAAAAAAAAAAAAAGCCATTGCAAGCGCTGGGTGTGAGGGTACATACTTGTCCATCTTCTTGGGAGGCTGAGTGGGGAGGACTGCTTGAGCTCAGAAACTCAAGGTCAATGTAGGCAATTCAGTGACTGTCTCAAAATAAAACCAAACCCCACAGTACCTCCAGGAAAGCTATAATAATACATTAAAAACACATCAACTTCTACAGTAGACTCACACAACCATTCAGGGACAATATAAAACATAAACTAATGACTTGCTTTTTCTTACCTCAACTGATCCAGTAGTTCTTCAGTTCTATTTATTTGCTTTTGCATAAAGTCTATTTGGGCAAGGGTCTGCTTTTTCTGTACCTCTACTTCTAATACCTTTCTGCAAATAAAATCAGGTATTTATAGAAAGATTAGGTATCTGTTAGAGAAAATGGTTAAGAAAATGGTTTATTATAAGAAGGTACATGTTAGATTCCCAGAGTAAAATAATAATGTGGGAATTTTAGAAGCTTTAATGTAAAAGTGGGTCTACTTCAGAAAAGTATAAATCACTGTCTCCCAAATTAGGGTCTATGAAGATATCTTTTGGGGGTTCCATGGTTTTTAAAATAATTATATTGAGCTGGGCATTGGTGGCTCATGCTTGTAATCCTAGCTATTCAGGAGGCTGAGATCTGAGGATCATGGTTCAAAACCAGCCCAGTCAGAAAAAAGTCCATGCAACTCTTATCTCTAATTAACCACCAGAAAACTGGAAGTGGAGCTGTGTCTCAAAATGGTAGAGCACTAGACTTGAACAAAAGAACTCAGAGACAGTGCCCAGGTTGTGAGTTCAAGCCCCACAACTGACAAAAAATAATAATAAAATCATATTAACAAAAATTACTTTTTCCATTTTTTCTAATAAAAATACAAGCATAATGAAGGTCACAAGGATGCCAGCTCAAAGGTGACACATGTCCTAAGTTCCTTCTGCATTTAAACAGAATTTGTGCTTTATGCCTAACCATTTTGCTAGCAACTTAATTTCAGCTGGATATTAGCACCTGTTATATTGTCAACTGGGATTTTACTGGTTTTTCATAATTTATAATTTCTTTTAGTCTTCCAGTTGAATATGATTCAGAAGGCTAAGAAATATATGCATCATCTCATACTTATTGAATTACAATATAAAATAATTTAACTTTTTTTTCTTTTCTTGGGCAGTGCTAGAGTTTGAACTCAGGTCTTTAGGCTTGCTAGGCAGGTGCTCTACCACTTGAGCCATATCTTCATCCTTATTCTTTAAAAAGATCCTGATAATATTTAAGTATGAGAAATACTGTCTTGTATTAATACCCTGTAAACAGTAAGCATTTCAAAAAGAATGTTGACTGAAATGTCCTCTAGGGACAATCCAAAGTGTAGCAGAAGCCTGAGTCATTCTTAGTGGAGACTCATCCCCAAATCTTGTCTCTAGAGGCAAGAAAGTCACTAACCTTGTTAAGGTTCAGCATTATACACAGACACACACTCACTCACTCTCTCTCTGCTTGTATTCAGGCGCTCTGTTAACTCTGTTACTTGAGCCATTTCCCAACAGCATTATATTTTCTAACACAAGCATAGGACAGACTGACCTTTCCAGTTCTTCCTCTTCTGATTTCAGCTGTTTGAGCTCTATGGAAAGGAAATAATGCATAGAGTGGACATTCTTAGAATGTTACATATATCCTGTTTTATGGAAAATTCTGACTTAATCTCATCTAAAAATAATCAACAAATGCTAACCAGGTTTCCCCCACCATTTATCTCTGACTCAAGTTACCATTCTCTGCAGCTTTCATTTGAGAATTCCATTCGTCCACAGGATTATCTTTCTCTTCATTTTCCAAATCCTTAGTTTCTAAAGTAGACAACATGCATTAAAATAATTAAGTAATATTTACTTACTTAATATCAGAAATGGAAAAAATAGATGGTCTCAAAGTAAAATATTAGAACCATTTCACAAACATCCACTATCTTCTTTTCAATAAAGCACTAAACTAAAATTATAATTTGAAAAAGAAGTGTTAGAGGTCATCTTCCTGCTTCAACCTCCCAAGTAGATGGGATTACATTTGTGTACCACCTTGTGCAGTTTGCCACTAGTAACGGTTTAGAGGTCACCTTAAGATAGAAACTTGCCAGGCACTGGTGGCTCACACCTGTAATCCCATCTACTCAGGAGGCTGAGATAAGAGGACTGCAGTTCAAAACTGGCTCAGGCAGGTCCATGAACTCCTATCTCCAATTAACCACGAGAAAACCAGAAGTGGAGCTGGGGTTCAAAGGGGTAGAGCACTAGATTTGAGCAGAAAAGCTCAGGGACAGTATGCCAAGGTCCTGAGTTCAAGCCCATGGACTGAAAAAACTATTTAACCACATATAATTTGCAGATGTGAAATAGTTGTTAGGCAGCCCCTATGAGCCAAGTAGAAACAGATTAAGACACACAAAAAAAGCAAGTTCACCAGGAACTGATGGCTCATGCCTGTAGTCCTATTTACTCAGAAAGCTGACATCTGAGGATCATGGTTAAATGCCAACCCAATTACAAAAGTTTGTTGAGACTCTCATCTCCAGTCAGCCACCAGAAACGGGGAAGTGGAGCTATGGCTCAAGTCGTAGGGCTCAAGCCTTGATCAAAAAGCTCAGGGAAGGCGGGCACCGGTGGCTCACGCCTGTCATCCTAGCTACTCAGGAGGCTGAGATCTGAGGATCACGGTTCAAAGCCAGCCCGGACGGGAAAGTCCGTGAAACTCTTTTTTTTTTTTGGGGGGGGGGGTGTCCGGTCGTGGGGCCTGAACTCTTGGCCTGGGCGCTGTCCCTCAGCTCTTCAGCTCAAGGCTAGTGCTCTACCTCTTGAGCCACAGTGACACTTCTGGCTTTTTTTCTTTTTGTTTATGTGGTGCTGAGGAATCGAACCCAGAGCCTCATGCATGCAAGGCAAGCAGTCTACCACTGAGCCACATTCCCCCCCCTCCCCACCCCTGAAATTCTTATCTCCAATAAACCACCAGAAAACTGGAAGTGGCGCTGTAGCTCAAGGGGTAGAGGGCTCACTTTGAGCCGAAGAGGTGAGGAACAGCACTCAGGCCCAGAGTTCAAGACCTGCGACTGACAAAAAAAATTAAAAATTAAAAGTTAAAAAAAAAAGCTCAGGGACAAGGTCCTGAGTTCAAAACTCAGAACAGGCACACAAAAGAAAAGGAGTAAGCAAATACAACTTAAAATTTTTATTTGTTTTTGAAATGTGGGAGTCATCCTTATAAATTTTCCTCTCCTCAATTCAAACCAAGTTTATTGAAGTTCAGATTTTAACTCAAAACTGGCTTTTCCTATAGATATATGTGACAGAAGATTCCTGAAGAGAAAGAAACTACATTTTAGATGGAAAGGTTGGGTCTAAGGAAAAGAAAGGAAGAATGAAAGAATAAGGTGAGGTAGGTGGGAGTCTAAGACTATGGACTTCGAGTCTGCACTGTCAATTCAATGCAGCACACATGTTGCAGACATTTTTTCTGTGCATACTCTTGGGATTTTGGGGTCCTGTTCCCATTGCCATAACAAAAGCACAAGGTGAAAGAATTACATAGAATGGCAAACTTTTATAATTTAGGATGTGTAAGAGTGTAGAGGAAATTGCTGGGCACCAGTGGCTCACGCATGTAATCCTAGCTATTCAGGAGGCTGAGATCTGAGAATTGCAGTTCAAAGCCAGTCGGGGCAGGAAAAGCCATGAAATTCTTATCTTAAATTAACCACAAGAAAACCTTAAGTAGCACTGTGGCTCACGTGGTAAAGGGCTAGCCTTGAGCTGAAGAGCTAAGGGACAGTGCTCAGGCCCAGAATTCAAGCCTCATAATAGACACCCCCCCAAAGAAAAAAGAGTATAGAAGAAATAATGTAACAAAAGATTTGAAAGCTAGGCATCAGTGGCTGACAGCTATAATCTTAGTTACTCAGGAGGCTGAGATCTGAGAACCAAGGCTTAGAAGCTCCCTAGGCAGACAAATCCTCAAGATTCTTATCTCCAAATAACAAGCAGAAAGTGGAGGTATGGCTTAAGTGGTAAGAAAGCCAGCCTGATCAAAAAGCAAATTTTATGTTAGGTTGTATTTTCTTTGTATACTATACACATTTACTTAAACTTGCTGCAGTTTGAAGTAATTTCCAAAATGTATTCACAACAATAATCATTAAAATGTTTGCAGCATTAAAAAAAAAAATCTCAGCAAGAGCAAAAGGCCCTGAGTTCAAACTCTAATACTAGTTTTTTAAAAAAAAGGATTTGAATATGAGTGGAGAGAGTATTAACCATTCAACTTCAGTGTTTAGAATCTATTTTGTAATTAACTTGCAGTGGTTTTTAAGGGGAGTAACATAATAAAAACTTTCATAATTATTCATCTGGTGGCAATGTCCAGGTTATATTAGGAGATAGAATTCTTAAGGAGAAAGTAAGAATGGAGATAGGCTAGTTAGATTTGAAATACCATATTTCAAAACAAAAAGAGCAAAGATGCTGAAGAAACAGTTATGCAAACATAAAAGAAAATAAACGTTCTTTTATTTGGGTTTTGTTTGTTCATTTATTTGTTCTGAAGACAAGAGACTTATAGAGCCCAGGCTGGCCTTGAATCCAGGGTCCACTCATCTCAGCCTCCAGAGTACTTGGATTACAAGTGTGTGACATTATACCCAGTTTTTTACATGATATTTTTTTTTGAGGGGGGTCTAGTCGTGGGGCCTGAACTCTGGGCCTGGGCGCTGTCCCTCAGCTCTTCAGCTCAAGGCTAGCACTCTACCAGTTGAGGTACAGCACCACTTCTGGCTTTTTTCTTTTTGCATATGTGGTGCTGAGGAATCGAACCCAGGGCCTCAGGCATGCAAGGCAAGTGCTCTACCACTGAGCCACCTTCCCAGCCCATCATGATATTTTTATTGTTGTTGAAATATCTCAATAGGTAGCCCAAGCTGACCTGAAACTTTTGAGATCCACTTTCTTCCACTTCCCAGAGTGATAGGATTAAAGGTATGGGCTACCATGCCCAGTTTAAGTCTTTTAGGAGAATTGCAATGTTAGTATGAATATATGTACATATGTATTTGAATGTTACAATACAGATAAGAAACATACAGAAGCAAATTTTGGGGTTTCATTTTAGAGATGAGACAAGATAATCAATTGTGTTTTAGTTAAACATAGTTTAAGGTGTTTACAGATAGTTTTGAAGAAACTAGTAGCTAGAAATGTCAGTCTACAACTCAAGAGAAAGAAGTTGAAAATATGTTCCACCAAAATGATTATAAGCTGTTTAAGCTATTTATCCCCTCATGCCTAAGCAAAATATCTGGCATGCAGTAGGTGATTGAGCTGAATTTGAGAATCAGCCATGTAAAAATAATTATTAATACAGATGAAAGCATTTTTACAGTAAAAAAAATGTAGAAAAGAACAGATAAGGCCATGCGTAGTGAAGCACCACTGTAATCCTAGCTACTTGGGACATAGAAACAGAAGGGTCACTGTGCTAGGCAGCTTGGCAAAGTTAACACCTTATTTTATCTGAGAAAACAAACCAAAAGCAAAAGAATGGGGGGGTTCAAGTGGTCTAGCACTTGAATTCAAGACTCAAACTTCAATTCCTACTACTTTGCACATATTCACCAGAGAGAAAGAAAATAAGAGGGCTGTAATCCTAGCTATTTGGGAGGTAGAGATTAGGGGATCATGGTTTGAGGCCAGCCCATGCAAAGGAAGCTTGAGAGACTAGCTCGACTGACGGCTGGGCGCGGCGGTGTGCACTTATTATTCCAGCTGTGGAGGAAGCACAATGGCTGCTATGCCAATGATTCCAGGACGCATAAATAGGAGGACTGTGGCCCCGCTGCCAAGGACATAAAGCAAGATCCCACCCAGAAATAAATGATGCAAATGAGTTGGAGGCATGGCTCAAGTAGAAGAGTGCCAGTCTAGCAAGTGGGAGATTCTTACTTCCATTCCCAGTACCATCAAAACAACAACAAAAGTAACAGATGATAGGATCTCAATGCCTCACCAGTTGTTAGAAGCCAAAGAGGAGCTAAAAGGAACAGTGAGAACGAACGGAGAAACAAAGTGAGCATGTGCAAATATAAGGGAGGTAAGTTTCAGGAAGAAAAAGATAATCAGTAGGATCAAGTATTCAAATAGGTCCAGCTGGCTTGGGGCTGGGAAGAATCACATCTGTGATCTTTGAGAAGGCAGTTTCAGAAAAGCAAAACAAGTTGTGATTATGAGTGACCAAACTGAAAGGTAAGACAATTTTCAAATGGAGAGAAAACAAGTCATTTATTGAAAAACACAAGATTATGATCTAGGTTGTTATGACTAGCTTTCCAAAGAGATTCATTATCTTTGGCATCTCTATTGTATTACTGATAATCATAGTAAAAGAATTTTAATTTGCTCTAATTTAAGGTCTCAAGCTGCTCTAATTTAAGGTTTTAAGCTGCTCTAATTTAAGGTGTCAAGCTGTGAATATAGCATAGTAAGGTCAACAACCTCTTCGGCAGGGAGATAGATAGATATATATATATTTTTTTTTTTCTTTTGCCAGTTCTGGGGCCTGAACTCAGAGCCTGAGCACTGTCCCTGAGCTTCTTTTGCTCAAAGCTAGCACTCTACCACTTGAGCCACAGTCACTTCTAGCCTTTTCCGTTTATGTGGTACTGAGGAATTAAACCCAGGGCTTCAAGCATGGGAGGCAAGCACTCTGCCACTAAGCCACATTCCCAGTCCTGCAGGGAGACATTGAGATAAAATTAAATATTCTTTTTTTTTTGTGGTTTGAACTCAGAACCTCATGCTTGGTAGATAGTTATCCTTCTAGTTAAGCCATGCTCCCAGCCCACAGATAAAATTAAATATTATTTTAGAAAATCATTTATTTACTTTTTATAGGTACTCTACCACTGAACTACATACCTATCCTCTAGAAAAGTATTAAAATACTTTACCTATTTCCACTTCAGTGAGACAGTTACTGATCTTCTTAAGTATGTTGTCCATCTCATTTATCCTTATCTGAAGCTTTTCTCTCTCATTCTGGACACAAAACATTATATGTTGTAAGGTCAAACCCTCAAATAAGACATTACAAATGGTCTAAATTGCTGATGTAACTGCTAAGTCATGATCACAGACAGACAAATTTTAAAATAAGATCAAAGATTTAAATCTGGAGCTAAAAAGAATAGGAAAAAAAATGAAAAATCAGCCAGACACTGGTGGGTCACACCAGTAATCTAGCTATTCAGGAGGTTGAGATCAGAGGATCACAGTTCAAAGCCATCCTGGCCAGAAAGCCCAAGAAACTCTTATCTCCCAATTAATGATAGAAAAAGACAAAAGTGGCTCTGTGGCTCAAGTGTAGAGAGCTAGCCTTCAGCAAAAGGAGCTTAGGGACAGCACCTAGGCCCAGAGTTCAAGCCCCAGGACCAGCACAAAAAAGAAAAGAAAAAAAAGGAATTAAAAGAAAAAGCAGGTAAATATTAGCTCATTTTGTATTTTCATTTACTAACACTATAGTATTTCTGTTTCATGATTTATAGGACATTAACATTTATAACTTGCAACAGAAATTCTCTAAAATGTTGTCAATGTCAGATATGGAAAGCATTAGAATATTTTTATTTTTAAACTTCTTTAAATTAAATATATGGGGCCTGGGAAGGTGGCTCAGTGGTAGAGTGCTTGCCTTGTATGCATGAGGCCCTGGGTTCAATTCCTTAGAGCCACATAAGCAGAAAAAAACTGGAAGTGGTGCTGTGGCTCAAGAGGTAGGGCAGTAGCCTTGAGCTGAAGAGCTGAGGGACAGCACCCAGGCCCAGAGTTCAGGCCCTACAACCAACAAAATAAATAAATATAAATTAATTAATCAATTAAATGTATGGAAATGTGGCTTTGTGGTAGAGTGCTTGCCTAGCATGCATGAAGCCCTGGGTTCAATTACTCAGTACCACATACACAGAAAAGGCTGGATATGGTGCTGTGGCTGGAGTGATAAGAGTGCTAGCCTTGAGCAAAAGAAGCTCAGAGACAATGCCTAGGCCCTGAGTTCAAGCCTCAGGACTGGCAAAAAAAATAAAAAATAATAAATTAAATGTATGTATGTGTATAGAATGTATTTTTTTTCTAGTTATTTATTTTTGGTGGGGAGAGGATTGAGCCTAGGCCTCAAGAATACTAGGCAAAGTACTCCATACTAAGCTACATCCACCCTCTGCAAGCTTTTTGAAAGGTATCATTTTGGAAACACTACTCTAGACGTATTATACACATTCACCACTGGGTATGGATGGGTATGAGGAAGACGAAAGTCTAACCTGTCATAACAGGAGACCCAGAATCCAATATACTTTATCTCAATGTGTACAAGGCATCACAATATTGGCAATGAGGTATTAATATTCCAACATATTTCAGATGCCACAAGTTGGCAGTCTGACGAACTAAAATTTGCATCTTATAAACAATTGTTTTTGCCCAAGTCTCATTCTCTGTGTGTTAAGGAACATTCTTCACAGTTTGCAACCACTAAAAAATAATTTTAAAAATAATTTTAACAGCTCCTTCTGTAATTGCATCCAGTTACCTGAGCCGACTTCACCAGCTTGTTGTACAGAGCCACCTTTCCTTGGTGAGTGAAGACTTTTGTCATCTTGGTTGAACGAGACTTTATTTTGTTAAGGTAAATTCCAAAGGTCTTCAGCTGTAAGAGAGTAGAGAGTATATTCACTGCAGTAAAACAAACTAGTCCAGCAACTGAGTGGCTTGAGAAGGCAAGTTCAACTGCCCCCATTATGCTTTCCCTGTTCTTGATTGTGATTCCTCAGGTCTGGCCTCTGTCACTTATAGATTTAATTCCATTTACTGGTTAAGAACAGAAACAAATATTTTAGTTTTGGTTGCTGCCTTTAATTCACTTGTTCAGATTATACATTAGAAAATGATATGCTGGGGCTGGGAATGTGGCTTAATGGTAGAAGGCTTGCCTAGCATGCATGAAGCCCTGGGTTTGATTCCTCAGTATCACATACACAGAAAAAGCTAGAAGTGGTGCTGTGGCTCAAGTGGTAGAGGATTAGCCTTGAGCAAAAGAAGCTTAGGGATAGTGCCCCGGCCCAGAGTTCAAGCCCCAAGAATGGCAAAAAAAATCCCAAAAAACACTGTTAGTAAAACTAACGTTGTTAGTAAAAACAAAAAAACAACTCAATCTACTAGAACATATATAAAATATTAATCACTTTAAATATTTTCATTTAAATCTAAATAAAAGGCAAAGAAGTTCAAATAATTATCAAGTAATAGTTACTTATTCTACAATAAAAAAAATGTTCATCAGAATGTCTGTATTGATTTTTACTCAGAAAATGAAAGTAAAATACCTCTTCATCAGAGCAGTTTCTCATTTTTTCCCACAAGTTCCTGTTTACATCAGTCAGTAGTTTATCTTGGTTCAATGCAGAAATCTTTAATCTAAAATGCAAAGAAGTTAGTACATGGTTTGGAAGTCAGCTTGAATGAATCAGTTCAGCTCTACAGACATATTTTGTTTTTTATATTATTTGCAGTACTAGGGTTGGAACTCGAGACTCTGGCTTACTAGACAGGCACTATGCCACTTCCATCATGCCTCCTAGACCAGAATCGCACATTTTTGTTCAGGGCTGGCTTTGGAACATGATCCTCCTACCTACAGTTTCTCCAGTAGCTGGAATTACAAGCATGAGACACCTTGCTTATTGATTGAGATGGAGGTCTAATGCACTTTTTCCCTGAGTTATCCTTTAATCTCATTCTTGTTCTTTGCCTCCTGAATAACTGAGATTATAAATGCACCACCATGTTTAGCTTATGAAAACTTTTCATTCTTGGTGGTGCTGAGGTTTGAACTCAGGGCCTCATGATTATTAAGCAGGTGTTCTGCCACTTGAATCATTCTTCTTTTTTTGTTTTGGGATATTTTCTAGACAGGATCTCACTTTAGAGGCCTGGGCTGGCATGGACCACAATCTAACTCTTTGTGTTTCATGTTGTTGGGATTACAGGTGTATGCCACTGTATATAGCTAGTACTTCCTCCATAGTGTAGGATGAAAGTACATGACAGCCATCCTTCAGCTTTTTGTTGTGCCTGGACTAACCTTCAACTATGATCACTGACCCAATCTCTACTTTTCATTAGCTAAAATTACAAGATTGAGCTACAAAAACTTCTTTTTTTTTTTTTTGGTCAGTATGGGGCTTGAACTCAGGGCCTGGGTGCTGTCCCTGAGTTCTTTTGCTCAGGGCTAGTGCTCTACCACCTTCAGCCACAGCACCACTTCCTACAAAAATACACTGTATATACTCTTCCTACTATTCATTCCAACCTGCTGAGAAAGTATTATCACTCTTTACAGATGCGGAAATAAAGGCTGACTTATACAAGACTACACAGTGTTGTATCCAAGATTGAGCTTTAGTATGTCTAACTACAAAGCCAAAATTCTTTTCCTCTCATATTTTCTTCCAATTAATACCATCATCTTTTTTCTATATCAGTTATTCTAACTAAAATGTTTCCATTTTCCATGTTAAATTATTCTAATTAAAATGTTACCACAGGGCTGGGAAGGTGGCTCAGTGGTAGAGCGCTTGCCTTGCATGCATGAGGCCCTGGGTTCGATTCCCAGCACCACATAAGCAAAAAGAGAAAAGCTGGAAGTGGCGCTGTGGCTCAAGTGGTAGAGCGCTAGCCTTGAGCTGAAGAGCTGAGGGACAGCACCCAGGCCCAGAGTTCAGGCCTCACAACCGGACCCCCCCAAAAAAAAATTACCACAGAGGTGATCCTGCTTATCAAAGTTCCCAAAAATCAAAACAGAAAAAGCATGCAGAAAATAAATTAAAACTGTCTTACGCTTCAATCTTTTGGCGAAGAACCTCACAGTCTTCTCTATAAATCTGTATCTTGGGTCCATACACATATTGTCTTAACATCAGGTCTTCTGGAGTAGGTGATATGTCTGTAGTAAACTGCAAAAGGAAAAAAAAAAAAAGGCTTTCAGAACTGGTGTCTTGAGGACAAAACCCATGAACAAGAATGAATTCAAGGCCAGGCACTTGTGGTTCATGCCTGTATTCCTAGCTACTCTGGAGGCTGAGATCTCCTCCAATTAACTATTCAAAATAGAAAAAGTTTAACCTGGCATTGGTGGCTCACCCCTGTAATCCTAGCTACTGAGGAAGCAGAGATCTAAGGATCATGTTACAAAGCCAGCCAGGGCAGTAGAGTTCATGAGACTATTATCCAATTAACCACCAGAAACCTGGAAGTGGTGTTGTAGCTCAAAAGTGGCACAATGCTAACCTTGAGCAAAAGAGCTCAGGGACAGTGCCCAGACCCTGAGTTCAAGCCCCACAACGAAAGAAAGAAAGAAAGAGAGAAAGAAAGAAAGAAAGAAAGAAAGAAAGAAAGAAAGAAAGAAAGAGAGAGAGAGAGAGAGAGAAAGACAGAAAGACAGAAAGAAAGAAAGAGAAAGAAAGAAAGAAAGAAAGAAAGAAAGAAAGAAAGAAAGAAAAAGAAAAAGGAAGAAAAGAAGGAAGGAAGGAGAAAAAAAAAAGAACACGAAGAGCTATGGCTCAAGTAGTAGAGCAAGCAAAAAGCTCAGGGACAGCACTCAGGCCTTGAATTCAAGCTTCAAGACCAGCACAAAAAAGAAAAGAAAGTTGCCTAGCTCAATAAACAAGACAAGAATGATAGTATATGCCTGTAATCTCAAGGAAAGGGGATTGAAGTTTGAGGCCATTACGGGAAAAATTCAAGACTATATCTGAAACGCAACGTAAAAACAAAGGAGTAGGAGTCTGGATCAAGTGGTAAAGTGCTTGCCTAGTAAGTATGAAGTCTTAAATTCCCAGTACTGCTCCCACCAAAAAAAAAAAAAAAAAGTTACACAAATAAAAATTATTAAATTCACACTGCTAAGTACAAGTCAGAACTTTATGTCTGACTTCAAAGTCCATTCCTCTATAGATTTTAGGGGACCTAAAGCTCCCTGCTTACATTGAAGTAGAAAATGGCTTAAAGCTGGCTTTGGTGGCTTATTCTTGTAATCCTAATCAGGAGGCTGAGATCTATGGATCTTGGCTCAAAGCCAACCTGGGCAGAAAAGTCTGTGAGTTTCTTTTTTGTTGTTGTTGTTGTTGGTCGTGGGGCCTGAACTCTGGGCCTGGGTGCTCTCCTTGAGCTCTTCAGCTCAAGGCTAGCACTCTATCACTTGAGCCACAGCGCCACTTCCAGCTTTTTCTGCTTATATGGTACTGAGGAATTGAACTCAGGGCCTCATGCATACGAGGCAAGCATTCTACCACTGAGCCACCTTCCCAGCCCTGAGTTTCTTATCTTAACCAGCAAAAAAACATAACTAGAGGTGTGACTCAAGTGAGCGTGTGAGGCCCTGAGTTCACACCCCAGGACTGGCACAAAGAAAGAAGATGGGAAAGAAGGGAAGAAGGGAGGGAAAGGGGAAGAGGAAGGGAAAAGGAAGAGAGAAGGAAAGAAAGAAAACAATAGAATACATCTGCTACACTTTTTTTTGTCTTTGTGGGGCTTGAACTAGGGGCCTAAGCACTGTCCCTAGCTCTTTTGCTCAAAGCTCTTGCTCTACCACTTTGAGCCACTTCCAGTTTTCTGGTGGTTAATTAGAGTCTCACAGGGCTGGAAATGTGGCTTAGTGGTAGAGTGCTTGCCTCGTATGCATGAAGCCCTGGGTTTGATTCCTCAGTACCACATAAAGAGAAAAAGTTGGAAGTGGTGTTGTGGCTCAAGTGGTAGAGTGCTAGCCTTGAGCTAAAGAAGCTCAGGGACAGCACCCAGGCCCTGAGTTCAAGCCTTAGGAGTGAAAAAAAAAAAAAAATCCCTGATTTCAAAAATCTGTTTTTTCGTAATGCTAAGCATAAATTTACCTAGTATAGAAAAATGTTGGGGCTGGGAAGGTGGCTCAGTGGTAGAGTGCTTGCCTTGCATGCATAAGGCCCTGGGTTCAACTCCTCAGCACCACATAAGCAGAAAAAGCCAGAAGTGGTGCTGTGGCTCAAGAGGTAGAGCGCTAGCCTTGAGCTGAAGAGCTGAGGGATAGTGCCCAGGCCTAGAGTTTAGGCCCATGACTGATAAAAAAAAAAAAGAAAGAAAGAAAAATGTTCTAGGGGCTGGGAAGATGGCTCAGTGGTAGAGCGCTTGCCTTGCATGCCTGAGGCCCTGGGTTCGATTCCTCAGCACCACATAAGCAAAAAGAAA